TTCCAGTTTTAGACTAATAATATTGCCCCTCCTGCCTATTATGAGCAAAGACTTGATTTACACACATTTGATAGCCCCATTCATTTCAAGCCAATACGTTTATTACATAGTTATATTATGTTATACAGTCATTATATACCACTAGAAAATACACATTATATTCATATAAATAGATTAGTCTATGTGTGTGATATCCTATGAGGCAACAGAATAGACAGAAATGTGGAAATTGATTTTTTAACCGTTATTTCTAAGCCTTAACTGGCACAAAATACAGTGTACAACAGATCGCATCAGGTCATCTGTAATGTACCTGCTTGTTTTACACTCTTTGGCCACCAGTTGGTATAGTGAGCAAATGAAGCCTTGAGAAATTAACCCTTTTGTGAACCACTTGGCTGAAAAGCTTCAATGCTTCATGAGGCTTCATCTCGCCATCACTAGGTAGGCCTATGTCTTAGGCCGTTTCTTTGCAAGTACGCAAAGTTCGGACTTGCGTCCTCGGTAGTTCGGACTTTGCAAGTTCGACTCGGGAGTGCGAATGGAACAGCAGCATAGCCTACTTGATAACGTCAGTCAGCTCGCCTTGGCTACTCCGGTTATCTACACTGTATACATTTACAATACGACAAAATATGATTATCAAACACCACTGCCTCTTTTTGTTTTCATTTAAACATATTATTAGTCGCAAAAATGTAGTTCAGGGAACATACATAAATTACAGTGAAACGAATATTATATCAAACTGCATTGCCTCTTTTCTGTTTCATTTAAAATATTAATAGCCTCAAAAATGTGGTTCATGCCTTTTCGTTTTCTTCCAAATATGAAAAACAACCCTCTTTTCGTTTTCATTTGAAAAATATCAAACATTAATATGTGGTTTAGGTAATATGTGCACTTATACTCTTAGATAATAGATAATAGATAATAGATTATCTTCACTGTATGTATCATAAAATGAAATATGACAAGCACAACTTTGCCTTTTTTGTTAAACGTCAGTTTTAATGAACAATAATAGCCATTATAAAAGTGTAAGTATAAAGTATAGGAGACTTATGTAATAGGAAATAAAGACAAAAGCAAACAATTCAGTCAAATGTATGCAACAAAGTCAGCGCTGAATTACGATTAATAAATAAATAATTTATGAAACATAACTTTGTGCTCAGCCAAAACAATATGACCTGCAAGAAATAATAGATTCATGAGACCAAAGATTACCTGTTCGATATAGAGCCAAAACGATATGACCAGGAACAAATAATAGATTCATGAGACCACGAATGCCTGTTAAATATAGCCTACCCAAAACAAATTGTATCTCATGTTTAATCACTACAGAGACATCAGAGCCAGTGGCAAATGTCGGAAGGACTAGCTGAGCTAAGGCTGCTCTATGCGGATACATGAGCACTGAACGCCCAGTGATCGCCTGGAGCTCCAAAATCGGCATAGCAAAATTTCAAATAGGCGCTATCTTTATAAATAAACCGCAGATTTGAGTTTTAAACAACTACATTCTCACCTGAAATACTCTTAGAACTGCATTTCATGACACAATAACAGTAATATTTTGAAAATTATGTGGGTTTTCCCCTCCGCCATTAACGCTCGCTGATTGGTGCGAAATGCATTCTGGGATACCTGGCTGCCTCAAGTTCGCACAAGTCACCTCTGGATACATCCTTGATAAAAGGGGCAGAGCAAGAACACATCCGGGGATTTGAATTGTACTTGGCTAGAAGTGAACTGTAGCTGTGTCCCAAAGTGAAGTGCACAGACTCCGAAGGGTGCATTTGAAGTGCGATTGCGTCACAGCGGCGCGACGAAGGCTGTCCCAAACTGAAGTGTGCGGACTCCGAAGTGCACATTTGAAGTGCGATTGCGTCACAGCGTCACGACGTAAGCATTAAAACATCATAATCGTGATCTGAAAAGTTTACAATTAAGTTTTGCAACTAAGCACCCAAATACAGTAACAGGCAGTGATGTGCATACGAGGATTTAAAGGGGTCATATGATGCGATTTCAATTTTTCCTTTCTTTTTGGAGTGTTACAAGCTCTTGGTGCATAAAGAAGATCTGTAAAGTTGCAAAGACTAAAGTCTCAAATCCAAAGAGATATTCTTTATAAAAGTTAACAGACCGATGAGCTTTGTAAAAATCGACGTGTTTCAGAAAGGCAGGGCATAGAGGAGAAATAATAATGTACATATACAGATATAAAGTATATGTAAAATATTAGTTGTCATCAGCGCAGAAACCATAATCCACTTACTATACATAATCCATTGTGATTTATTTGTTATTAAATAAATTTACGTTTCACCAGATTGCCCTTCATTCAAGTCCTCGGTTTACCTGCGCTCATAACATTAGCATAGAATCAGTTGTCCAAAAGAACCAGTTCGGTTCAGATGTGCTGTGTAAGTCATAGTAGGCAATCTGTTCGGTAGCTTCACGCTGAATCACACATGCGCAGTATCATCAACTCATCGGTTCTCAAATCGGACGCGCCCGATAAAAAATAAAATATATTTATATTATTACACTTTCTGATGTTTAACAAAATACTTGGATAACATACGTTTCGCCAGATTGCCCTTCATTCAAGTCTTCGGTTTCCCCGCGCTCATAACATTAGCACAGAATCAGTTGTCCAAAAGAACCAGTTCGGTTCAGACGTGCTGTGTCAGTCAGGAGCTGTGTCCCAAACTGAAGTGCATGGACTCCTGAAGGGCGCATTTGAAGTTCAATTGTGTCACAGCAGCGCGACGAAGGCTGTCCCAATTCAGAATGCACCCTCCGAAGACTGCATTCCGAGGCCGATTGGGTCACCGCGGCACGACGAATGCTGACGTAATTCGAAATGCCAGGTTTAAAAGCCAGGTTTTTTTTTTTACAAAAACAAAGCCCACAAACAATAAGACAACTACTAAATAAGGCAATAGTCTTTATTTTGTTGTGTTTTTGTAGTGCTGTCATGTCTACAAATGTTTTAACCAAACTTTAGCACTTCAGTATTTTGTATGCATGTCCTGCTGTGTCATATTTTCTAATGTTAAGATTGCAAACCTGTCTTTATATTTTTCATAAGTGTATCCATTTTCACTTATTTTAGGACTATTCTGGAGAAAATGATTCGGCTGGGGAAAGACTTAAAAAATACAAAGCAAGCAAGTTAATAGACACATTTTTGCTGAAATTCATTGTGCTGTTGTTGTTAACAGGCATGGTTTATTTGCTCTGCCTTAGGATTGCAAGTGTCCTGGGACAGGTGAGGGAGTGAGTGGTGAGCTGGTAGAGCTACTCAGGGAGGACATCAAACTCCAGAGAGAGACAGAGGAGAGAAGAGCACAGGA